GGAGGGGATGGGACCTGGATTGCCCCAGCTCCTCACCTAGGCTGGCCACACTCCCATGAGGTGAGGGTCCCCACTGGGGGTGTGGCCAGCCTGAAAACAGCCATCAGCTCCTCTCGCTATCAGTAGGGGTCAGTTGAAGGTGAACAAGACAGTGACAGGGGGCAGACTGGAGTGAGCAGGCCAGCAGAGGGGGCAGTTGGGGGTGAGCAGGCCAGTGGAAGGGAGGGTGAGGGCAAGCAGGCTAGCAGGGGGGACAGTTGGGGGTGAGCACAATGGCACGGTGGGCAGTTGGGGGTGATCAGGCTGGCAGGGAAGGGGCCAGTTGGGGGTGAGCAGGCCGGCAGGCACAGTGGTTAGGGGCAATCAGACAGGCAGGCAGGTTAGTGGTTAGGAGCCAGCATTCCCAGATTCTGAGAGGGATATCCGACTGCCGGTTTAGACTTGATCCCTGTAAACTAGCAGTAGGACATCCTTTGAGGAATCCCAGATTGGAGAGGGTACAAATGGGGCTGAGGGACAATCCGCCACGCATGAATTTTGTGCACTGGGCCTCTAGTAATTTTCATAATTGTATAAACATCTCTAAAAGGAAATATCAATAATGTGAATCAAGTTAACTAACTAGTTTCTTTTCCATGTATCCAGTAAAAATAAACCAAGCAAAAACATTTTAATTTGGTAATGAATAACTGGCTTGGGTCACAAAGTTAACTACTGGCATTAAAGATCATGACTGTTAGCTGTGCATGGGTTCGTAAGGACTGTCATAATCAATTTAAAGTAATAACTTTTTGACGGAACCAGTTTGGCTCAGTGGATAGAGCGTCGGCCTGCGGACTGGAAGGTCCCGGGTTCGACTCCGGTCAAAGGCATGACTTATTACTCCGGTGGGGGCTGTGCAGGAGGCAGCTGGTCAATGTTTCTCTCTCATTGATGTTTCTAGTTCTCTATCCCTCTTCCTTCCTCTCTGTAAAAAATCAATAAAACATATTTTTAAAAAATAAATAAATAAATAAAGTAATAACTTCTTTCTTGAGCAGAAAAGAGCAAAACATATTTTTTGACCTTTCCTTAGAATCAAAACTTAGGGTATGAACTTAAGATGAGATGAGACTTAGGATGGTATAAAAATTTTAGTCTCTAAATATTTCTTTCTTTTTTTTTTTTTTAAATATATTTTATTGATTTTTTACAGAGAGGAAGGGAGAAAGATAGAGAGTTAGAAACATCGATGAAAGAGAGTCATTGATCAGCTGCCTCTTGCACACACCCTACTGGGGATATGCCCGCAACCAAGGTACATGCCCTTGACCGGAATCGAACCCGGGACCTTTCAGTCCCCAAGCCGACGCTCTATCCATTGAGCTAAACCGGTTTCGGCTCTACATATTTCTTTTTTCCTACCTTTCTGTATGTGAGATGAAAACTGCTCCTACAAATACTAACAAAATTGTCATGAAATCATTTAAATAAAAATATTAAGAGTTAAGTGAAATTACTATTAAGATTCTGTCAATGTCTATATAACAAGCTACTACAAGAAAATTACAACATATTTTATACATAATATAACAAAAATATCATTATACGCAATACAATAGTATTAGGAGTTAAGTATCCATTAAAATGACCAATATCCTTCCAGTTTACTTTTATTAAAAATAATTTTTATGGAGCTAAGATTCCCACAGACATAAAATTAAGCATTTTAAAGTACATTCACAATGTTAAACAATCATCATGTCCATGTAATTTCAAAAGGTGTTCATCACCTCAAAATAAAACCCCATGCCCATGAAGCAGTTGCTACCCACTACTCCTTCCCCCTTGCCCTTGTTAACTACCAATCTGTATCTCTCTCTATGGATTTATCTACTTTGGATATTTCACATAGACTCATGTGCTACCTTATGTCTGGCTTCTTTCACTCGGCATGTTTCTTAGGATTACCCATTAGTAGCATGCATCAGTGCTTCATTCCTCTTTATAAATAACACTAGAGGCCCGGTGCATGAGATCTGTGCACTAGAAGGGGGGGCCCTCAGCCCGGCCTGCACTCTCTTACAGTTCAGGACCCCTCGCTCCTTACCACCCACCTGCAGCAGAGGCAGGAGAGACTCCCATCTCCACTGCTGTGCTGGATAGTTGTGAGCCCGGCTTCTGGCTGAGCAGCACTCCCCCTGTGGGAGCGCATTGATTACCAGGGGCAGCTCCTGTGTTGAGCATCTGCCCCCTGGTGGTCAGTGCATGTCATAGTGATCAGTTGTTCCTTTTGGTCGATTTGCATATTATGCTTTTATTATATAGGATTCCATGTATGTACATTACATAATTTCTGTATCCATTCATTCATTCATTGGTGAATATGTGAGCTAGTTCCACCTTCTGACTATTGCAAATAGTGCTGCTATAAACATTTGTGTACAAGTGTTAGTTTTGAACATCTGTTTTTAAGTCTTTTGGGTATTTATCTAGGAGTATTTAATAAGTCATATGGTAATCCTATGTTTAATACATTGAAGAACTTTAAAATATTTTCCATAAGTGGCTGCACCATTTTACATTCTCACCAGCGATGTACAGGGTTCCAATTTCTTCACATCTTTATCAACATTTATTATTTTTGGTTTTGATTATGATCATCCCAATGGGTGTGAGGTGGTATCTCATTGTGGTTTTGGTTTACATTTCCCAAATGACTAATGCTGAGCATCATTTCATGTGCTTATTGACCATTTATATATCTTCTTTGGGGAAAGGTCTATTCAAATTCCTTGCCTATTTTTTTTTTTAAATTGTATTTTTGTTCTTGTTGCTGAGTTGTAAAAGTTCTGTATGTATTATGGATACTAGACTCTTATCAGCTATATTACTTGCAACTCTTCTCCCATTTTATAGGTTATTGTTGTTTTTTCACTCTTCTAATAGCATCTTTGATGTACAATTTGATGAAGGCCAATTTTTAAACTTTATGGCTCATTCTTTTGGTATCATTTCGAAGGATTCAAAGTCATAAAGTTTTCCCCATATGCTTTCTTCTAAGAACTTTATGGTTTTAGCCCTTATATTTAGGTCATTGACCCATTTTTAGAATATATATATTTTTAAAATTTATTTCAGAGAGGAAGGACGAGGGAGAGAAAGAAACAACAACGATGATTCGGCCAGCGTGGCTCAGTGATGATTCTTTCTCTCTTCCTTCCTCTCTAAAATAAATTTTAAAATTATGTATTTTTTTAAAAAAAAACACACATATCTATGATGAGAGAGAATCATTGATCATCTGCCTATTCAGAGGATTAGGGGATTGAACCTGCAACACGAGCAAGTGCCTGACTGGAATCCTCCTGTTCATAAGCTGACACTCAACTACTCTGCCATGCCGAGCATCACTGACCCATTCTGAGTTACCTTTAACACAATGTGAGGTAAGAGACCATCTTCCTTCTTTTGCATGTCATCCCAACATCATTTCTTGAAGAGACTGTTTTTTCCCCAATGAATAATCTCAGGACCCTTTTTAAAAATTGGGCCATGGATGTATGGGTTTATTTAAAATTTTTTATAAATTCATTAACTTCCCATTTTATAATTCTATCACTGCTTTCATCAGAGAAGATTTAGTTTATAATGGCATATTAGAAATTTTTATTTCAAAACTAGAATTTTTAAATAAGAAATATATATCCATAATAAACATATATAATTTCCTTATTAAACATTCTTTAAAAAATAAAAATGAGAAGTAGCATATGCAAACTGAAAATCAAAACCAATCTCTGCAAAATCCTATTTTGTAAAGTAGCATGTGATTTTATTGTTATTAGATTAATGTGTAGCCCTAACCAGTTTGGCTCAGGGACTAGAGCGTCAGCCTGCAGACTGAAAGGTCCCAGGTTCAATTCTGGTCAAGGGCATGTACATTGGTTGCAGGCACATCCCCAATAGGGGGTGTGCAGGAGGCAGCTGATAGATGTCTCTCTCTCATTGATGTTTCTAGCTCTCTCTCTCTCTCTCTCTCTCTCTCTGCCTCTCTGTAAAAAAATCAATAAAATATATTTTTTTAAAAAGAAATCATTCATTTTAATTGCATACCCTTTATACAGCCTTCTGTTTTACACTTAATTATAAACTTCTAGTCAGCTCTTAATGTAGGTATCACATTAAATGTCCTTGATATCAGTCTTGCGGAATTACCTGTGTTAAATTACGGTCCAATTCCAAATAAGAGATGGATTTTATAACAAAAGAATGCTTTATTGACTGGCCAGGGTGATTCAATGGTTGAGCTTTGACCCATAAACCAAAAGGTCATCAGTTCGATTCCTGGTCAAGGCACATGCCTGGGTTGTGGGCTTGATCCCCAATAGGAGGCATGCAGGAGGCAGCCAATCAATATTTCTATCTCTATCCCTCTTCCTTCCTCTCTCTCAAAAAATCAATAAAAATATATTAAAGAAAAAAAGGTTTTATCGTCTAGAATTTTGTATTAACATCAAAGTGTCCCAATAGGAACCATCCATTGACTTTATGATTTTTCTTGACCCACTGGATTTCAGTCCCAGTATAGTGTGGCATCACCACTATTTTAGATACAATTGGCCATTCCTTCCAAACGGCCTCTTCTCCCACATAAGTTTGACCAGGAAGCTCTGAACTGCCTGCATCTCCTCTTAGCCTGCAGGGCCTCCAGCCACCTAGTCCAAAGAAAAGAGCTGATTTCCTTGGTCGTGTCTCTATAATACAGAATTAGTTACAAACGCTGGTGAAGATTCTCTACTCCCCTACCACAATATCCAAGAGTTCTCTTTCATCTTGAACCCCGATACCAGCTATAAACACTGGGTGCTTAGCTTCATCACAGTTTCTTTTATATGCAAGACAATTTTGGTTTTACTGCCCCAAATAAGGGAAAAAAAAGTTTAGCCCAGAAAACTAAAGGATAAAAAGTTTGGGAAGTGTTGAGAAGGGTAATCTAGAAAACATGTGAAAAACTTTACCTTGAGCTGGCCAGTGATGTCGCTGCAGCTGACTGTCTTACCATGCAAGAGACTAAGGTTCAGGGTCAGACAAACGGTTCTGACGTCCTGGGCTGGACGCACAGTTGAAGTGAGACACCAAGGAAGAGATGGCCAGCCCAACCCCTCACACAGCATCCCTTCCTGGTTAATCCATGAGATGATAATGACACTGACTGGCCTCATCCTGCCAATGAAGGCAAAGCACTGCAATGGCGGCGCCTAGAAATGAATAGGAGTGAATGGGAATAAAAGGGGAGGGGGAAGGTGGCCAGGATGAAGAAATGAATAAAACTCCAAATTTCTGTTACAACTCACTGTCATGCTTATTACTCTAATATCGTAATGACAGGGGCAATGGGGGGGGGGGAAGAGAGAGAGAGAAAACCTGCTACCTATTTAACTTATGCAACATCCTAAGAATGTGGGTCCGTATCCTACAATCTGACTACCGTATTTTTCGGACCATAAGACGCTCCGGACCATAAGACGCACCAGTTTTTAGAGAAGGGAAATGAAGAAAAAAAGATTCTGAAACAAATAGTGTCCTAAAATATCTTATGTGCATTAAAACCCAACATCACAGTCATAAACACATGTAATCAACCCTATAAAGTAAACAGCAGCATTTAGAACCATTTTAGAGCCGGGCAAGCACACAGAGACCACACAGAGCTGGGCAAGTAAAAAAACTTTTTTTTTAAAGTATATGTGTAGGCTATATTTGGACCATAAGACGCAGGGATTTTTCCCCCCCACTTCTGGGGGGAAAAAAGTGCGTCTTATGGTCCGAAAAATACGGTACATATAAATAGAGCAAGAGGGGAATTCAATTTAGCGCATAAACCGATAGCAAAGAAAATAGTATTTTCATCATCAGCATTTCTAAAACCTGATAATTTAGTTTTATTTCGTTTTTATTACCAAAAGAACTCAGTCCATACTATTGAAATAGACTGTACTTACCAAACAATTCCTTGGGCTCCCGAGCCAATTGGTTTCAATTGCTGGTAACGCTTTAGGACAGTGAAAGTTGAGTCTGCCACTTGCACACTGTAAAACTGACTATCACATTTACTGTCACTCATGGTGTAGTGTCATGTGATATTCCAAAGGCTGTAGTCGTCAGATCCTTAAAAGAAACACAATGAATATGCATTCTTACTAAAATTACATAGTGTTTCAAGTTGATTGGTATACAAGACAATGTGGCCGTAGTTTATAAACTCAGTTTGACCAAGTTCTAAACTTAAGCAACACGTGAAATATGAAATGGGATGAGACTATTATGAAAGGAAGACAATTTGAGGCCTGCGTGACCACATTTTACATGACTGGAGTAAAAATAACATCCTTTGGAGAAAAGAAACTGCGCACTTTTTTCTAGCTCTGAGTAGATTATGTCCCTACATGATTCTCATTAGCTGCTGCCTGTGGGACCAGCTTACAGAAAGCTGTCTCAGCCAGAGAGAACGCACTGTTTCAGACCATCACGTCACAATTCCTGCAGAGAAACAAATGGACCAGTCTTCTTTCAAGTCCACAAATGCAGGTTAAAGTGGCGAACCAGAAAGCAAGTCCTACGTCAAAGGGGAGGAAGGGGGAGTTAAAGAGCGGCTGGCAGAGGCTGATGACGTGGTGACTCCTGCCTGGTGAGAGCGGTCCTGGAGCCAGCCCTGTCCCCGCACCCCAATTACTGATGGCAGTCAATAACATGGAAGCCATGATGTTCCCTCATGAGGTCTGAGTGTAAGCTGGCAGCCTTGGAGCAGCCTCCCCACAGGGGACGCCCACCGCAGGAGCCCACATAACTGTACGGAAGACAAGCGCACAGAAAACTGTCAGGCAGCCACCCTTAGTCACATGGTTCCCTGGCTCTTGTTTGATGGTGTTTACAGAAGGTCAGCAAGATATTTAAATTTGTTGCCCTAACCGGTTTGGCTCAATGGATAGAGCATCGGTCTGTGGACTCAAGTGTCCCAGGTTTGATTCTGCTCAAGGGCATGTATCTTGGTTGCGGGCACAACCCCAGTGGGGATGTGCAGAAGGCAGTTTATTGATGTTTCTCTCTCATCAGTGTTTCTAAACCTCTATCCCTCTCCCTTCCTCTCTGTAAAAATCAATAAAATATTTTTTAAAAAGGATATTTAAGTTTGTCTTTAAAAAAAATAAGTCAACTTTTAAATCATAGAGGTATTAACATTTTATACTGTTTAAAAACACAGAATTTAAATTTTAATCTACACTACCAGCATAATCCCGCCTGTTTGTTCTATCACCTAATACTTAATGTCTATCCACTGAGTTTTTTGGAGTGATGATTTGTATTTCAATACAGTGATGTCTAGGATTTCCATTAAACATGGAAATGTATTGATTACTAACAGGCCTAAACAAAAAACTTAAGTCAAATGAATAGTTTCTCCAACTGACCATTGCTTCACATTTTCTGTTTTCAGGCAGAGGCTGAGCACAGCTGTCAGCATCTCCAGCCCTTGCGCCTGACAGCCATGCACCCCCCACGGTGTGCGTCCGGGAGGCCAGCGCCGCATGACATGAACCATCACACTGCTCGTGACAGCACGCAGGACGGCCAGCCCAGGCGGCACCGTGCTAACGTGTCCGTGCTGCTTGAGGAGGGGGCCAATGCCTCGGCGGGGATAGGTCTGTCAAACTCATCGTGGCATCCCACACTCATAGGACAGGAGGAAAGGGAGTCTGGCCCCTGGGACAACAGTCATTCAACAGACTTTGTTGATCTAACCCTTAATACAGCATCTAATGATTTCCTCACAACGCTTCTCCATTTTACTAACATCTGAAAGAATATCCTTTTTTAAAGATTGATTTGTTTATAGGCAATTGTACTCAACATTTTGGGGGTGCCTTTGTACAAGAAAGTGACAACAGGAGATACAGCAGTCTTGAAGCAGCATGTAGTTCACCATTTGGGGAAGAAGTGTGAGGAATGTACCCGCTATCTATACTATAATACAAGTTACAATGAAGTAAGGGCCATAAGCAAAATGTAAACAAAACCAAAAGAGATCCTACCCATGAGCAGGGGTGTAGAAGACAAGGAAAGCTTCCTGGAGGAGGCGGCATCTGACCTGGACTGTTTTGCCAGAGACAGACAGTAGAGGCACAGAGCTCAAGCTGACTGCTCAAACACGGCGAATTGCTCGGCTGGGCTAGTGGGGTACAAATACAAGAAGAGACAGACGTGGCAAAGAGGTGGAGAGCCTGCAAACTGCTGTTTCTTTGCCACACTGGAATACGTTAGCAATGCTGGCCGCTCATGAAGCATGTCCTGAGCACCACTGTGGGCAAGGGCCTGCCAGAGCAGTTGGTGTGAGAGCACGGCTGGTGGGCACACTCAGGAAGAGACCCAGGCCGGGAACGCCCTAAACCCAGAGGAGGTTTGGGGTGCAGGGTAGGAAAGCAGCATGTGCAGAGAGCTGGAGGTGCCTCTGAGCATGACAAATCATTTGAGATTTAGTCTCCTGAACGCTGAGGGAAAGCAGCTGGAAGGAGGAAATGAGGCCAGATCACCACAGGCCCATCAGCCTCTGGGGCCGCCTGGGCCTGAGCTGGAGGGCTGTGGAGTCATCACAGCGCGGGAGGCATGTGCGCGGACCTGCTAGTCGGAGAGCTCATCTGGGAAGCTGCAAAAGGGGTAGATTTAAGTGGGAAGGACTGAAGATGAAGGGACCTGGCAAAAATGACTGCATCATGGCAGGTGGGGGGAAAGAGGCATGGTTTGGAGGAAGAAGTACACAGCTCACAGCCCTCAGAGGAGACAGGAGAAGGGAGGTGAGGCGTCTGGAGACCCATGCTGAGTCAGCGAGGTCAGCTCTGAGTCTGAAGTGCGAAGGGACAAGCAGCATGAAAGGCCTGGGCTCCTAATGCACCCAGGACCCTCCTCCCTTCTGTTTCAGTAACAGAAGCCTTCCTGTTCCAGCTGCCCAGCTAGGGATGACATCTGCCTACTCCCCCGGTGCCAGGTGTGGCCAGATGACCAAGAACTTCTGGCTAATGAGATGTGAACAGAAGTAATATATGCCATGCTACTTCCAGATCTTTTTTTTTTTTTTTACAGAAAGCCACTTGCTATCCAATCTACCTTTCTTCCTTGCTGCTGGCTGGGGATGAGCTGACACAGATCCACAGATGGAAGCCACATGCTAAAGCCCCCCACCAGCCAGCATCCTGAATGATCTGGTGGCACAGACGCGCCAATCTGGTCCCCATGCCCACAATGAGACTGGCACAAGTTAATCCCAACCTTGTTGAGCAAGTTGGGGACTCTCTTTGCTACAGCTGCTGCAACTTATAGTTCGATTGTACATAATATTGTACATAATATGGCTTTTGTAAATTTGAGTCATATGGTACATTACATCATTAGGTTCAAATTATTAATATAATTTCATCTAAAGATTTAAAGTAATTTAAAATAAGTTGTCCTTATTAGGCAGAGAACAAAGCACCTAAGAGAAAACCTGTCAAAGCTACCTTCTCTGTCAAGCTTGGGCCTCCAGAGCAGGAGAAAAAGCCTCCAGGCAACCTGAGAAAACATATAATTTAGTAATTAATTAAATCAACTCCTGCGATTATATGTCAACAAAATGGATCTCAGCTGGGTTTCAGAAAAGTTCACAAAAGGGGGAGCACAGGCATTCCTCGTGAAACCACATTCCAGCACAATGGTGCTGGCTCCTCGCCCTGCTCCTGGCAGGGAGACTTGTGCCCACAGCCAGGAGTCCGCCCAAGCAGGACGGCCTGCCTGCCTTCTCGCACAGCACTGCCTGGTAAACGCAAGGGAATGTCTAAAGCCCTCCAATGACCCTCTGACAGCGTTCCTGGGGACACACTCTGCTCTGCTTCTAGGACTCCTCAGACCCATGTGGTCAGTGGACGCCTAGAGGAAAGGAGTCAGGCTCCCACCCATGGCCTTCCTGCCCGCGATGCTGCTTCCCGAATGCTTGCTGAATGAAATGCTCTCACCTAAACTCTCTATTTCTCTAAGACTGAGGCCCTTGTAGGACCCCCTTCAAATACTGGAGTAAACTACCCATTCCATAAATACTGGTGGGGAAGAACATTCCTACCTGCTTAGAACCGAGAGTAAGAAATCCTTTTAAAAAAAAAATCTAACTATAGCCTCTAAATATAAGCAATTTAGGTATTGCAAATATTAAATCCCTGGTTACATTTAATAAATTTTAAAAATTGCTCCAACTACAGCTTTACATGGTTCTCAAATCTTAAAGTGGGAAAGAACAATGCAGAGCATACAGTCCCATCTTGTGGGGACGGCATCTGCCATCCACTGAGCTCTCCCAGCAAACACACTGTGCGTAAGTATGAGGTAGGGGCTGTGAGAGCGAGCACGAACCAGACAGTCCCCTCCCTCAGCCACCAGCAGCATCATTACCGCACTGCGCCCGGGTGTCTGTGCGCACAGGCCGCAGGCAGGGGCCAGGCAGAACGGTGTGCGCGGGTGGGCGGACTGTACGAGGGGGAGGAGGGTGTGCAGGAGGCTCTGGAGGAGGCAACACTTGAAAGCAAGTCTGTCCACAGCATCAGCCCGGTCTGAGGGAGGGGACTTTCACACACGCCGGTGGGAAGTATAAACTGGCAAAAGGTTTTTTTGGGAAGAAAATATCTAATAAGATAATATCTAATGAAAATTTGAAATGCACATGACTCTTAACCTGTCAACTACAATTCTACAAATATATTCCACAAATATGTGCACAAATATTCAAAGATGTTTGCAGCACTTCTTATAAACAGGAATTTAAGAAAGATTGAATTATGGCATGAAAGTAAAACAATGTAGGAAATTTGTGTATTGATATGAAATGACGCCTAAAATAAAGGAAATAAGGCAAATTCAAGCAGAATACACTAGTAAATGTCAATCTACAGAGAAACACACACACACACACACACACAACATGCTAGCAAGTGTACAGACATAGAGGGAAATGATTCTTTCACTTATAATGGTAACTTATTGTTCTGTTGATGTGGGGTTTTTGGTAGCCTTGAACATATTTCACATTTAAAAAAAAACACTAAATAATTTAATC